AAAATAATATAATAATTGTAATAAAAAAATGCACAGTTTAATATTCCGACGCGTTTCGTGTTATTTATTAAAATAAAAACACTCATCAGGGCTGTGCATTATAAAAAAAACTTATTTAAAAACAAAATTAAATAATTAAGATATTTTAACTACCACCACGTATACAAAAATGTTTTAGAAGAGAGAAAAAAAAGAAAGTTAAAAGACAAAAAATAATAAAGATTGGTAACACGATCAGTTACTTGAAAAAGAAAAAATAAAGAATGTAAAGCTGATTAAAAAAGAAAAGAACAATTGGTAATCAAGAAACCTTGTTGTTGTTGACACACCTAAATATTGTTCTATGTTGGATAAATCAATAAATCTAAGTATTGCACCATCATTGTCGTAGTACCATCGATCACCCAAGTATCATTGTAAATAATAATAAATGTAATATGATTGTTATAAAAAAATGGTAAATAAATAAATAAATAAATAGATAACAATTATGAATGGTAGAATCTATTCGATATCATTCCAAATATATCGGAAGTTATCATTAAAAGATACTACCATTCAAACATAATTGTAAATAATAATTAGTGCATTGTAATTGTTATAAAATAAATAAATTAGCATTTAAAAATTATGAGTAGCATTATCTAGTCGATATCATTCCGAATACATCGGAAGTTATCATGTATAGATATTACATGATTGTTCTAAATTTGATCAATAATTAAAGATAAAAAAATATAACAATAATCAGGAGCATTTAATTTAAACAAATCCAATAATTAATTACTAAAATGGAGATTTCAAATATTATGTTAACACTGATTGAATGATCATTCGTTTTTTACTAATTGTAATTGTAAATTATTGGCATTTCTAGTTCCTAATATTGGTTTAATATCATTGATCGGTGACTCACCAAAGTACTTATTCCATATATTATGAAATTTTCCTGGAAATGTTTTCATATTCTCACAATATGTGAAGTGGACGAACATTGTTTTTCCATAGTCGAATGTTATTTTCTCTTTTACTGGTGAATCAATAATATATTGTCGCATTTCATTATAATTATACCGAGTAAGAGGATGTTGCACATTGAATTTCTTAAGTAATCGAGCAAATTCTGTATCGATGAAATGTGCTGGATATTTATTAAGAAGAAGAGCAGTTCGTATATATTCACGTTCAGTTATGAATGCATCGAAAGTTGAGCAGTATTTAATGGTTCGATACAATATGGCATATGGAACATTTTTCTTCATGTGCAATGGGTGTACACTATTATAAGGTAAGAAATACAAATCATAAGACGGCTTATGGTACACTTTTGTATGCAGTTGATTATCATTAATTGTAATATCCAGATCGAGAAAATTAATCGTTGAACCCATTTGTGCACTTAATTTTATATTTATATCGAATTCGTTCCATCTATTGATCTGTTTTGTCATATGCTGTTATGGCCAATTTATAGATATGAAAATATCATCAATATAACGAACATAGATACCACCACTATTTTGTATCTGCTTCACTATTTTTTGTTCAAAAAAATACATATAACAATTAGCCATAGTCATAGTTAATGGTGAACCCATTGCACCACCACGTACTTGATGATAGAATTGATTATTGTACTGGAAATAATTGTTTTGCATTACAAATCGGCCTAATCTAATAATTGTTTCAATTTTCAAACCATCGACTTGTTTAACATTAAGATAATCTAGCATTCTTCTGATTGCTAATATTCCTTCAGTTTGTGGTATCATTGTATACAAATCAATTACATCTAATGTACATAATAGAGTATCTTGACGTAGATTATTTTCTGACTAACTATATAATTTTTTAATTAATTCAGATCCTGAAGTAATTGTTGTATCACGTGCTAGTCGATCAGATAATGGTCGAAGCATTTTATCGAGGAGTCTTGAAATTTTAATAGTCGGGTGTTTTAATCCGGAGACAATTGGACGCAGTGGAGTGCCAGATTTATGTGCTTTTGGTAAATAATATAAGTGTGCTAATTTCACTTCATTTGGTTTAATTGACAATTCTTCATACTGTTTTTGAGTAATCCAATGAGCTAATCGTAAATCTAATAGATATTTATTTGTACGATCAATTAAATCAGCTGATGGATCATTTGCACCTAAACATGTATATGCTGCTGTTTTATTCATATATTCACTGGATTTCTTATGGTAATCTTGAAGTTTACCTAAATGGAATACTTTAGATTTATCAGTTTTTTGTACAATTATATTTGATAAATAAAACTTATGTTTTAGTCGTTTAACTAATCGATGATAATTTGTTTTCTTGTTCGACATCATAGAAGTATTCATAATAATTGGTACTTGATTTGATTGAATCATTGTTAAGAAGTTATCATATGAAATATTTTGTTGATGTCGTTGTTCATATTGTTTATGTCGTTTATCTTTACAATCAATATTTGTATTATGTAGATTTTGAAGTAAAATGTCTAATTCTGAAATAAACTTATTCACGACTTGTCCGGGGCTCACTTTTTTCTCGAAAAATCGAGTTTCAATTTTCCGTTTAAGAAGAGCCAATTCGGTTACACGTCGATGAGAAGCCATTATTGGATCATTATAGATAAATCGAGGACCTAGTTTTAGTAATTGATATTGATCATCGGTTAGTTTAGTTTTTGCTTCATTAATTATTGTTGGAGCGAGAAATCCCCGCTCAACTGTCGAGTTACAGTCGGAGCAATTGCTTCTTCTAGTTGTACGTTGCCCGCGACTCGTTGCTCTTCTAAAAAATAACATGATTGCTCCGCTTCTAATTTAAATCTTCGTATACGTAGATCATGATACTTTTTAAATGCTGCCACACCACCTTCTGCATTATCATTTGGAAGACCTTGAATTATACGATCAATTTCATTTGTTAATATTTCACGTTCACGTGTAATCGATTGTAAATATAATGTCATTGATCGAGTACGATAATCTTTAGTTATTTGACGCATACGATCATATAAGTCTTGTGCTTCATCTGAATTCAAAATAGATTCATCACATTTGAAATTAAATTCCACTTTTGAAATAAATAATGGAGGTAGATCATATTCGACACGTTTCGTAGCTATTTGATAATTTTTATTTTTTGTATTCCATACTTTCATTTTCATTTTTAACATTGAATGGATACTCCATTGAGTAGGTGCAGCAACTGCTTCAAATTGTTGTAAAGCTTTATATTCTTCCATTTGTGCTTTAGCAAGTTTAATTTTTTCTTCAGATAATTTCTTTACATGCTGTGTACAATGTTGAATATAAGGTAAAATACACTTTTCTAGTTGTTGAGCAAAATCTCGAACACCAGTTGTACTGTCCAATGCTTGTGTCCAATATGTTGCTAATTCTATTTGAAAATTTGTAATTGAAGCGTTTATATCAGCTATACTCATAGTTAATTGATTAATCTTCTTTTGGGTAAAACGAGTATTAATATTATCATCTCGTCGTTTTGTTCTTTTAATAACTTCTTTTGACCAATATTTATCTTGTGTACCCATTTTTAAATATAATTGCCATACTTGTAAATCATAATTAATACGAACCCATTTATCATATAATTCTGTTGTGGCTAATACATATGCTTGATTACCACGAGAGCCCATAAGATTCGGTGCATTATCTTGCATGAAACGTAGAATTCGAGATGGTTCTAAATAAATTGGTTGTTTTTTACCATGTTTTTGTTTCGTATTATTATTAGAATTCATTGGTAATGTATCAACATTATCATCATCAACATCATTAATATTGTTTGATTAAATATCAGCTAATTCAGCAAATCGATTATTGTGTGTATATTGTTGTTGCTGATGTTGATATGTACGACGTTGTCGACGTCTATAAGAAGCTGTAGTTGCCTGTTGACGATTATTTCTTGGTTGTTGTTGAATTAAACCATTTGCATCATCATCTCTATTCATTGGTTCCTGTTGATTATTATTATCAACAATAAATGGTTGAGTATTATTTAGATTAAAATTTGTTGGCAGATTACGAGTACTTGATGATGATGATCGACTTCTAAATTGTGCTGGCATATAATTGTTTAATATATTTAGTCTTGGTTTATTATTAAATCGACGTGGTTGTCTTGTACTAGACCGGGACACCGATCTTGAATTGAATCGATTTCTTTGTTGTTGAAATCTTCTTGTTTGCTGCATTGGTTGTGGATTTCTATAATTATTGTTATTATTTCGACGATTATTGTACGGCCGTTGATTATTATTATTTCCACAGTATAAATTGTTATTATAATTATAATAATAATCATTTCGCCCGTAAACACCACTTTGAAATGGTGGTGGTTGCAGCTGCTGTTGTTGTAATAATGGTGGTTGTTGTTGTTGTACAGTTGATTGTAATGGTGGAGGTGGTGGTGGTGGTTGAGTGAAATTCATTCTTGATTATAACCGTTGTTATAAGTTGAGATAGAATGGATCAAATTAATGGACGGAATTTCAAATAATTTGATGCCTGAAATACTATATATCAAATTAAATAAAAAACAGACTGATCTATCTATCGTGAAGAAAGACAAATACAATCTGCTGTTCTCAACTTTTGCTTTTCAGCAATCGATTGTGTTGTAATTGAAATAAAAAATAATATAATAATTGTAATAAAAAAATGCACAGTTTAATATTCCAACGCGTTTCATATTTTTATTAAGATAGTACTCTTCAGGGTTGCAAATCTACAAGTAAAAATAAATAATTTATCAAGAAGAAAGATAAATTCAAGCTGTTGTTGGTAACTCTTGCTTTTCACCAGTGGTGTATTTTGTTGTGGAAGTAAAAATAATATATGTGTAGCATATTAATCTAAAAAATGCACAGTGTGATGATGCGACGGGTTTCGTCTTTTTGAAGTAGCACTACTCAGAGTTTAATTTCTAAAGCAGAATATAAATTAAATAATAATAACTGGAAGAGATATATGAAAATGTTTAGTTTGTTAGAATAGTTTTGTGTTGTAGAAATATTTTATCAATTATTGTTCATGTTGAAGATGTGCATATACGCCTTCGACAAATGGTACAACAGGATTTTGACTTAATGATGGATAGATAGGTTTGCCTTGTGGTGGACCAGTATTGTGGATAATGTATGGTGGTTGAGAGAATCGTTGTTGTTTTTGCGATCTCTTCGTATCATGTCGTTGAAATATATGTGATATCATGTGATCCCACGGTTTAAGTTCAATTTTAAATAAGCAGTAATAGCATAATTGTAGGATCGTAACAAACACATCAAATAAAAGTATTAAATCTCTCCAATTACTCCATATTGTGGGTGTGATATCTGAATAATATTTATTTAGAATCTGCTGTTGTATGGTATTGTTTATTATTTAACTGTTAATTATATTTTTAATCATAATTCTGTTGTCTTCAATCATTGTGCGATGATCTTGTATATTGGCTATTATAGCTTTAATGTTATTTTCATCCTAGATTTGTCGTTTGTCTCGTACCTTATGTTCATTTTCTATTCGATGAAATAATGAATCTAGAATATGAATGATTTGAGCGTTTTTTTAATGAATGTTGGTGACTTACCTTGTTTATCAATTGGAATTGCAATTGAATAACAAAGAATTAAATTAAAAATTATTGAGAGACACAGTGAGTTTTTATACATTTTTAATTATTATCTAAAATATAGACAATATAAAATACAACGAATAAATTTACATACAGTTATGAGCATTCTCAATGAGAATAATAAAGCGACAAATTGATCAATTCGTCTAATTTTATTCGATGATGGATGATTCATTTGTATTACAATAAAGATGTCGATGGATACATATCAATTAAAATGAATCTCTATTTATATATTCTTCATTATGAAAATAAAAAAGATATAGATATATAATAATTTCATATGTGGGTGTTCTCATTTCGTGAGAAAATTATAAATTTTTATTTATCTCTACGAACGTGTTAGAATGAAATGAAAATCAGAGGTAGAATTTTGTTTTTTTGCAAATTCAATCTTGTGATAAAAAGAAAATACATCGAATTTAGTCCGAACGACGTGCAATAATGTCATTCTTTCATTTTTTAGAAAGAAAGAAAAAAAATTGAAAATACTAATATGTATTTTTATGTCTACGTGTTGAGATGAATATCAACGATAGAAAAAATGTTATTCTTGATTTAGTTAAAATTGAATTAATTAATTTCTATATGTGATAATTGTACAAGATCATGTATTTATTAAATCATGAAATTAATCTGTTAGATAATCTTGAGGGTGGAAAAGAATATTAAAAAAAATTGGGAAAAAACTGATACTAATGTAAATTCTGGCGAATTGTCCATTTGAGTGGTATGGTTTTTTATATGTTCCTGATTAGATTTCCAATCGGAAAAAATTGTCTGACTTTTATTATATTGAAAAAAACCGATATTAATCAAACTAGTTTGACTATATTTCAAGTTTTCAATGATTTTCAATATATAAGGTGATAGTTTCGTGTAATTTCTTTTGTTTTTATTTAAGAAGTGAATCTCAAGATGAATTGAAGAAGTTTTTTTCCTAGGAAGACTAATTCTATAGTCGTTTAGTTTGAAAACTTAGCAAAAACATTATAAATCGGTCTATGATTGCTCTCATTGTTTGATGATGTGGTAGTTGGAATTTTATTTAATTATTATGATATTTTAAAATTTTATGTTTTTATTATTATTTAAATCTATTTTGTCGTGTAATATTTAGTAAAATTAAGTATTGAAACTTTTATAGTTGTATATTTACTTTTAAATTAAAAAAAATTAATCGAGATTTTTTCCCCTAAACAAATCAATAAAATCGATTTTTAGAATTTAGTAGATGAAAATCTATTTTGGTTTAAGAATGAATTTCAATGTATTGATTTTTGACAATTTAATTGATCAACTTCATTTATATACGAAAGTCTGATAAAGTCAATTTTTCAAAAAAAATGTTTTCAACAAGTTATTTTTAGTGATGTTATCGAAGTTGATTAAATTCTTTTTTAAAAATCTATTGAAAATATGTTATGTTGTATGGCATAGTAGATTAAAATTGGCTAAAAATATAAAACGTGCAACTAATTTATTCAAAAAATACTTTACAGAATCAAATTTTTGTAATTTTGATGGAAAATCAGTTCGTTTGAAATTTTTTATAGTCTTTTGTTTTACATGGATAGGTAGTTATACAATACATGAGTAAATGTTTCATATGACTGAAAAAATTAACGTGAACGAAAAAAAGTGAGCATTGTATCATAAGAACTGATTGATAAAATGTATTTCCGAGTAGTTTTGATGAGAATTATTTCTTTTTCAATTAATATTATCCATATGCGCTAGGAAAATTTTATGTTATTATTTTTCAAAAGACTAATAAAATAAATTTTGTATAGAGTTCACGAAATATGATTTTGTTTTTTATTTGCAACGTGATGCTCCTAAATGACAGATGATGTATTCTTCAATCTGAGGAAGTAGAATCATATTTTATTGCCGAGTAAAATACATAATTAATCATATACAAAATTAATGTTCTTGAATCTTTCTTCTTTTAATTGAAAGTACGAAAACTATACTAGAAAAAAGACATGATATTTTTGTTTATATTTATATTAATATTAATGGATTAAAATAGAACTATTTGTACTTGTTGAGGATTATACAACCACGAACATAATTATTTCAAACAAGATAAGATTAATTTTATTCTCTCTTGTATATAAATAGAAATCAAATATTGTAATTTAATCATAGATAATCAAATGTATCTATGAAATAATGATGTACGTACATGGATCACCGTTAAAAAGATATCATTGAAAATGACTCAACCATTTACATAATGTCGCTTAGAAAAATCAATTTAATATAAATAGTTCAATATAGGTGTAATCTAATCACATTCAGATACTAATAAAATCGATATTTAATTTATACGCTTCAGTTGATCATTATAATATTTCATACCTTGATCAATTTATAAATTTTGCTAAGTAGATTTAAATTTAATCAACTAGAATATTATATACCTAAATATTTCAATCGATATAATTTATAATTAAAAAAACAAATAGCAATATTGATTCTTCCCACATTTAAAATACTTATATATTGTTCTTCTTAAAAAAACTAGTCACGAAATGAACAAACTTATAAATTATAGAAACTTCAGCGAAAAATAAGATGAATTTCCGAATAGGCAAAATTAGTAATATTATTCAGAACGATATCTCAATCTGTTGACCATTTTTATTCGAGACATTAAGTATTTCATGTGTTTGAATATATTCTTTCAATAAATTTATTTTTTAAAATACAAAAGTTAGTTAAATTAGATATGTATTTATTTTATTCAACTTATTCATTTCGATGAAGTCATCTATTAAAATACTCGATTAACTTCACTAACATCTAAGAAATTTTTCTATCGGACGAAATAAATTTTTACAAATAATAGAAAAATATAAGAAAATGTTTTTTTTCCCACTCAATTCACTAATATTGTTTGGCATTAGATAATACAACTTGAAATTAATGCATTGCTAATACACAGAAAAGAAAAATAACGATTTTTTTATAAAGATAAATAAAATAATTTGTAAACATAATTAATAAAAAATAAACAAGTCATTTTCAGACATCGATATGATATAAAGTCATATATGAAAATAAAAGTGAAAACATGTACACGAAGTAAAATTTTCTGTTTATATATTTGTTGCTAATGAGATGAATAAATTAACGAATAAATAATTTGGAAGTTTTATATTTTCTTTAACATATTAAATAAATATAATTTAATTGTACCATTGCATCAAGACGTTGATTTTTGATGATATCAACTTTTTGATATATGTGTGTGTTATAGTTATCTTCTTGTTATTGATGGAACTATGTTTGCCTGCTAGTTATCAAGGGCACACCTCTTTTTTTTTTGTACAACTAAAATTTGATGTTTCGTATCTCAAGTATATATATATATATAAATTGTTGCATTGAAATTCGGGTTTAACTAATGAGGGAACGTTGTCAGGTGTTGGTCTCGGATTTCAATTATTTTCCGG